GAGCTGATCTGTGCTGGTCGCTGAGGGAATACATCAACTTAGTGCTGTGGATCGCCAGATCGGCTTTCACCGTTTTCACCGCTCCTTCGCCGAGACAGCGAAGTAATGTTAGACTAAAATGCCGGCAGTTCTGACTCACGTAAGTACGTTTTCTTTTATCATTTGCCACTGATGATTCAAACGCGAGTTTTGGGCAGTGTGGAGTAGCACTTGTTGTTTGTCATTTCTCTGATCACAAATGCAGACAGGGTTTTATGTTTACGCGGCACAATGCAATGCAACGCAACGCGTAAAAAGACAGTATAAGTCATTATAATCAGTAATTATGCCCCCACTGGATGCAACAAATGCCTCGTTTGTAATGGGTTTTAATGTTTTTGTCTCGTCGCTCCAGCCGGACACGGCATCAACAGTATGGTGAGGAGTGTAACATTTCCGTCACACGCTTGAGGTATTCGGCCAATCACAACGCACTGGATAGCTGGCCAATCACAGCACACCTCGCTTTTTCAGACCGATGAGCTTTGTAAAAATCGACGCGTTTCAAAAAGGCGGGGCATAGATGAGAAACAATAATGTACAGTATGTGGAAAATAATGTTTTTTTAACTTTAAACCGCATAAACACATTTCATTACACCAAATACACAAAATAATGTTCTTTTTAGCAGCATCATATGACCCCTTTAAATGCTTAGCTTGATGATCAAAACATGCAATGCAATACAATACAATGATGATTGAGAGATGAACAAATAAACGTTCCTCAATAGCCTGATTATCATATTTGATACTGATAATCAAGTAACGTGGAGTTGCTTCAGTCTAGTAAGTGTTCATCTTGAAATATCAGAGTTATTCTTATGTTTACTTGATAAAAATCAGTACAGATTTCACAGCAGAAAGACACGTGAAGCACAAGCTGAAGGTGGATGTTTGTACTTTACTCACTAGAAAAGTCTAAAGTATCAATCAGATGACAGAAGGCATGTGGTAGATTGTGTGTGACAGGTTTATCAGCAAAGTTTTGATCATGTTGATCATTTAGAGACCTTATTTGTGTATTAAGTACGATATAGTAGGCTTTACAGGGATAAGAGTGTTCTCACCTTTTTAACTTCATATTTGATGGCGAGTTTGATGCGGCTCAGACAGGGTCTCTGGTGTTCTGCGGGTGGGTTCTGGTCTACATCACCGTTCAGAATGGCCTCCACTTCCTCTGTGTCACGACAGAGATCCAGAACACCCACCACGAAATCTTTACACTGCATCGACAACTTCCTGTAGTCATTCTGACAGAGAGAAACACAGAGAGAGAGAATAGTCAGGAGGACCCACTCACCTGTCAATCAAACCATATTCATTTGACATATTCATTCCAATGAAGGAAATTAAGAGATTTAAGAATGCAGCAAAGTTTTGATCATGTTGATCATTTAGAGACCTTATTTGTGTATTAAGTACGATATAGTAGGCTTTACAGGGATAAGAGTGTTCTCACCTTTTTAACTTCATATTTGATGGCGAGTTTGATGCGGCTCAGACAGGGTCTCTGGTGTTCTGCGGGTGGGTTCTGGTCTACATCACCGTTCAGAATGGCCTCCACTTCCTCTGTGTCACGACAGAGATCCAGAACACCCACCACGAAATCCTTACACTGCATCGACAACTTCCTGTAGTCATTCTGACAGAGAGAAACACAGAGAGAGAGAATAGTCAGGAGGACCCACTCACCTGTCAATCAAACCATATTCATTTGACATATTCATTCCAATGAAGGAAATTAAGAGATTTAAGAATTTATTAAGAAGTTATCCAATAAATGTGTATCTTTTTCTTTAAAAAAAATTAAAAATGTAAAAAGTTTTGAACTTTTTGAACTTCAAAAGAAACAAACAAACAAAAAAACAGCAAATAACTCTAAACAGTTTTCTCTACAGGTAAATAAAAAAAAATCGAAAAGCAGACAGCAGTGGAAATTTAAATTTAACGCATGCGAAATTCTCATTCATGTGAAGCAAAATAATATTTAATATTTATATACATAAATATAAATGTTTTAATATTTCAAATAAAAACATATTAATGTTTAATTATTGAAATATATTTGTAAAATATTTATACATCATGGTAGTTTTGTTTTACTACAATTCATTTATTGTAATTTAAAAAAAAATAAATTATTCTATATAAACAGATACTTAAAAACAATCAAGAGCTGTTTCTTTAAACATCTGTAAACAGATGAAAAATTTGTAAAAATGCATCTGCAGTGAAAAAAAATGAAATTCCTGTAAACTATTCAATTAATCAATAATTAAATGAATAAAAATAACTTCATATATATGTATGTACACGTATGCATGTGTATGTGTATGTATATGTATGTATATGTGTGTATGTATATATATAAGATACAATACATTTAATAAATATATGACACAATAAATATAGTAAAATAAAATATAATATATATAAACAGGGTGAAAATAGTGATTTTTGTTACTAAATATTTTTATTTATTTTTAATTTTTTGCATTATAGGCAAAAAAGCTTAATAGGAAAGTTCTTTTAATTTCATAAATTTTATTTATTTTCATTATGGCCTAAAAAGAGTCTCTTGAGAGATTCTTCCAAAAGTGATTTAGAAGTTACAGGACAGCAAAATGCTCCAATTATTTCACTGACGGACAAGGTGAGAACGACAACACAACACACTGAACTTCTCTGACAGCTCACAACCCTTTCACAATGACACAGAGATTCAAACCCGTCCTGCAAGACTGTCACAACAATAATCGTGTGGAGGTGTCCGTCTGTCCAGAGAACAACTGCAGTTATCAGCCCTTTCAATCCGCATCAGTATCCTCCGGCGAAACAGCCGAGCGTTTGATTTCTGACACTGAGGTCTGTGGGTGGAACAGATGCTGAGCTCCGGACGGCCGTCAGACTGATCTCTGAGATAACGAGCAGTCTGTCCGTCTCAGGAAACAAATCCCTTCACTCGTGTGTGTCTGAAGCACAGCCCGTTCAAGCACAGACACGGATCAGCCTTCGCTGTAATCAAGGTCTGCCTGCGATAAACTCTCAACCGTTCCACAGTTTGGGCTCAAATCAGCCCGGCGTTGTTGGATCAAGCTGACTGAGATGGATTTGCCAAACACAATTTGTCAAACACGCTGACTGACGAATATATGTTTCTTTTTTAATAAATCTGCAAAAATGTCAACAATTCTGTGTTTTTCTGTCAATATGGGGTGCTGTGTGTACATTAATGAGGAAAAAAAATTAACTTAAATGATTTTAGCAAATGGCTGCAATATAACAAAGAGTGAAAAATTTAAGGGGGTCTGAATACTTTCCGTACCCACTGTATATATATATTTTTTTTTTCATTCAGCAAGGATGCATTAAATTGATCTAAAGTGACAGTAAATACATTTGTAATGTTATAAAAAGATTTATATTTCAAATAAATGCTTTTCCTTTGAACTTTCTATTCATCAAAGAATCCTGAAAAATAAAATGCATCACATTTTCCACAAAAATATGAAGCAGCACAACTGTTTTCATCATTGATAATAATCGGAAATGTTTCCTGAGCAGCAAATCGGCATATTAAAATGATTTCTGAAGGATCATGTGACACTGAAGACTGGAGTAATGATGCTGAAAATTCAGCTTTGATCACAGGAATAAATTACAGTTTACAATACATTCAGATAGAAAACCATTATTTTAAATTATAATAATATTTCACAATTTTACTGTTTTTACTGTGTTTTTAATAAAATAAATGCAGCCTTGGTGAGCAGAATAATCTTCAAAAACACGGAAAAAAATTCTTACCAACTGTAACCCAGAAGTAACAGAAGAACCCATTAAAACATTATTTTAAACAAATTCATTAAGTGCCATCCATTTGCTATAAGATCTAGTCCTGACATCCGTTAGATTATCTACTAATTATGTGAATGCTAATGCTTCTAGCCATGCAAGTTTGATTTTACAGTATGTGCTGATGCATTACGAAACATAAAAATAATTCATAATTCAATGCAAAGTTTCACGTCAGAGCTGCAACTCTAATGTGGATTTTAGAGCATCTGGAACATGGCATTTACAAATCAGCATCCATAACTGAAACTGTTTTATAATGTGAAATATGATTATGATGTCTGCCTCTGGCATTAAGTGATCTGCAATCCTTACATTAGATGTAATATCTCAAATCTTTTACAAAACCATTAAGATTGCTGTCTCACAATTACTCACATTAGCTGAAGCAAAAACACACACACACACACACACACACACACACACACACACGTCTCATTCTGGACCAGCAGCTGTTCTGAGTGTTAAACCCTTTCAGGAAAATACATCAGCATCAAATCAGATCCAAAAATGCAAACTGACAGATCCAGCATCTGTCAACAATTCATACTACTTTAGCCATGAAGAACATAACCTGAATGAGAGCAGAGCATTAAAATCTTCAGTTATTAAAAGAGACAACTTCTACGACAACTAGTCACAAAATAACGGTACATGTTAAATGAAAGTAATACTTTTTGGATGTACTGTATAACAACAACATGCAGGATTGTTTTACACACAATTTTAAATACTTTGGAAAGTTCGACCATCAAAACAGTGTTACACTTGTAACAATTAATCTACATTTGACACTTTATCTCACAGAGTAAGATGCAGCCTGCAGAAGTGAAATGCATGATTGTTTATCCACACCAGAACTACCGACTGTAGCCAAAGCACAATAAACTCATTTAGCTTTTTCCAAGGCACATTATTTACAAAGAGAGCAGTGTACTTAGAGTTATGGAGGACATATTAAGTTCTAGAATATTACACTTGGTTGAATTAAATCTAGGTTGTACTCAATTCTGCAATCCTTCATTTAAACTAAAATTAGCTAAGTTTCTCATTTTACAGATATTAATGGCATGTATTTCTCTGTTTTTATTAAGAATATGTTTAATAAATTTCAATTTGGCCATCTTTCTATGAATTATATAAGTGATCATTAAGAAAATACATCTTTTATATTTAATCAGAGGGGGTGTACTCATTTATGCTGTGCATTGTATATACTTTATATATATCTTAAATATATTATATAATTAATTATGTATCATATGATTTTTGTAAATGGAAAAAAACTGTGTAGAAACTGCTAGTAAATTTCAAAAACACTTACAAATAAACAGCAAGTAACACATTTATTTAACCATGACATTTTGAAGTAAACAAAAAACATACTAAAACTGTAAAACATGCTACAATAATCTTTGTTTAATTTTGAAAAATATTTTTTATTGTTAAGTCATAATTTTGTTGTGATATCATACTGTTTTGCTCTGTTTGCTTTTTGCAAGAGTTACTGTTTACTATTTTTCATAGTGTGAATCCTGGTTGTATTAAAATTTGTTATTAAAGTTGTATTAAAACCCACAAAAAAAATCATAATTTTTAATTATTGTAATAGTTCATATAATCCACAACAATAAAAAAAAGAAGTTTTTAAATGTATAAATGATAACAAATGAGATTTCAAGGATGTTTTGACCGCTGAACAAGGAAATGTCTCTGGTCTCCATTTCTGAAATCTGTTCACTGTAACCAAACAAACCGAAATACACAAGGACTCTGGTAAAGCAAATTGGTTAAAATGACAAATGATTTCAGTGAACGCACAGTGGGGAGACCTGCCACCCGAAAACACTCTCATAATGTGACTGTACGTCATGTAAACACTTTTAAACTAGAAACGGCGGCTTGGGAGACAATCGTAATCGGGGCTGTTTTCTTACAAGATGCTGAATTGACGTTGCAAGAGAGCAGTTCTACACACAAGAGCATTCTTAGGAATAAAAATCTGAGATAAAGGCTATTAAACTATTTAAATGAATGCACAGCCAGTGTAACAGCCACAACTGTTGAATAATGAATGCAATTTTCGTGTGTTCCTTGCAATAATACAGCAATACATTAACTATAGACTGTATTTAAAGCTGCTGTGTGTGAGTTTAATGTTCAGAGACATTGTAAGAGGCAAACAATGATAATCTTTTTTTTTTGAGTATGTGTTTATGATAATATCTGCAGAACAGATTTGGAGAAATCATTACATCACTTGCTCAGCAATGGATCCTCTGCAGTGAATGGGTGCCGTCAGAATGACTGCAAAAATAACTAGTTACACTCACTCTCAGTCCATCCAAAATGTAGATGAGTTTGTTTCTTCATCAGAACAGATTTGGAGAAACTTAGTATTACATCACTTGCTCATCAATGGATCCTCTTCAGTGAATGGGTGCCGTCAGAATGAGAGTCCAAACAGCTGATAAAAACATCACAATAATCCACAAGTAATTCACACCACTCCAGTCCATCAAGTAGCATCTTGGGAAGCCAAAAGCTGTGTTTTTGAAAGAAACAAATCCATCATTAAGATGTTTTAACTTTAAACTGTTGTTTCCGGCTGATCCTCTATTAATAACTCTAATGAAAAAGTTGTCTAGTCTGAATCAGCAGAGAAATATACACAGATCAAGCACAAAAACAGTTCTAAACAAATATGTGTGTGGATTTTGATGTGAGAGGACAACAGGGAATGGACTTTATCACTGGAGGAACGGTTATTATGGATTATGGAATTGT